GGTTTTTGACATAGGGCACATGTGCTTGCCAGAGAGAGAGAGAGAGAGAGAGAGAGAGAAAGTAAAAAATCACTCTGCCCAATGTTCCATCCTCAGGTAGGAGGATGGTTATGCCATAGTCCCTTCTCCATTTTCCCCCTTGGGATTTTGGGCATGGAAGCATGAGTTTCAAGTCATCAGGTTTGGGACTTGAACCTCGTGTGGGAGTCCAGAGCCTTAAACACCATGCCACCTGCTGGCCCCTTCAGTTTTTTTTTTTTTTTTTGTCTTTCCTTTTTGCCTTTCAATTTGGGAAGTTTCTTTTTTCTTTTTTAAGAGGTTTTTGCTATAGGGTGCATGGACTCACCAGAAAGACAGAGACAAAGAGACAGAATGTGAGAAATCACCCCCTAGGGGGATGTCCATGCCACAATCCCTTCTCCTCCATTCTCCTCTTGAGATCTTGTGCCTGCACATACACATGCCTGGCATGAGTTTAAGTTACCAGGTCCAGGATTCGAACCATGGTCGACTATGTGGGAGTCCTGTGATGTAACCATTACACTATCTGCTGGTACCATCAATTTGCAAAGTTTCTATTAACATATACTCAAACTCACCAATTCTTAGGTCAGCTATGTCCACTCTACTATTGAGTTCAATAAAGACATTTTTTATTTCTGTTAGCTAGACATAATTTATTAGTAAACAGAACTAACATAAATACACTTTGAGTGTAAGGTTTTATTTTTACCTTGTTAAGAATTCAGAATGTGTTTTGGTTCACTTTTCTGTTGCTAACAACTGAACATCACACTGGGTAATTTATCAAGAATAAAGATTTATTTAGCTCATGGTTTTGGAGGCCCAAGGTCAAGGGTCTTCTGATGAGAGTCTTCTTGTTGGTGGGATTTTTCTGCAGAGTCACCAGGCAGCATAGGACATCACATAGTGAGACAGAACAATAGCAGAGCTTGTGTCCGTGTATCTGCTCTTCTCATAAAGCTACTAGAAGTCAATGATGGGCCCTCACCCTAATATCCCCATCCAATCTCAATCACCTCCCAAAGGCTCCATCTTCCAGCGCCATTACTGGATTAAGTCTTCACCATCTGAATACCGTAATAATGGCTCACCAAATTTTAACACATAAACTTCTGAGGACACATTTGAATGATAGCAGCATGTGTTCCTGCCCCTTCTCGAGAGGATAGAGAAACATTTGTTCTATTTCTCAGTTCGTGTAGTAGAGCTTGACCTGTGCCCCAAGAGCAATAGGTGGCTCTCTCCAGTATGTGGCTCAGGCCCCCTGGATAGTGAAATTTGCTGTGATGATGGCAAGCAGAAAATAACCCACCGTGTTGCCCATGACACTTGATGAGAAGCCATCTGGGATGCTGCTAGGGAGCTGATCTCTGGGTGTCAGCCTCCAGGGTGCCAGCGAGACTTGCTGGGAAGCTACCTGTGGAGCCGTCACTGAAACTCTCTTGGAAGCTGTCCTGTGGTATGCTGGCCAAATTCATTAGATAGCCAGCAAAACTCATGGGAAGGCACATTCTGCTTATCTCACTTGCTATTGGCAGCTGTGTGTGCCAAGAACAAAGAAAAGAAAAAAAGTACTCACACCTTTTGGTCGGAACTGCCATCTTCCAGTAATTAACTAAAAAAAAAGGAATAAGGAGAGGTACCCAATATATGTTCTCTAGGCCTTTTAGAAAACACGGAGTGGTTCCTTTGGCAACATATATGTGAATCTACAAGAAAGGTGATATTGTAGACATTAAGGGAATGGGTACTGTTCAAAAAGGAATGCCCACAAAGGTTACCATGACAAAACTGGAAGAGTCTATAATGTAACCTAGCATGCTGTTGGCATTGTTGTAAACAAAGAAGTTAAGGGCAAGATTCTTGCCAAGAGAATCAATGTGCGTATTGAGCATATTAAACATTCTAAGAGCAGAGATAGCTTCCTAAAATGTGTGAAGGAAAATGACCAGAAAAAGAAAGAAGCCAAAGAGAAAGGTACCTGGGCTCAACTGAACTACCAGCCTGCTCCACCCAGAGAAGCACCCTTTGTGAGAACCAAAGGAAAGGAGCCTGAGCTTCTGGAACCTATTTTCTATGAATTCATGGCATGATGGGTGTCAAAAATAAACTAAACTATGGTCTATTGAAAGAAAAAAAAAAGGAAAAAGAAAAAAGTGCTTACGCTGGGAAGAAGTAGAGTCCCTTTTCCTGAAGTGTCTTTTTTTTTTTGGGGGGGGGGAGAGGTGTTTGCTATAGGGCACGTGAAATTGCCAGACAGACAGAGAGAGATAGAGAGACAGAAAGCAGGAAATCACCCCCCAGGGGAGATGGCCACGCCATAATCCCTTCTCCTCCATTCTCCTCTCGGGATCTTGGGCACACACGCACACGCGCCCGGCGTGAGTTTAAGCCACCGGGTCTGGGAATCGAACCACGGTCGACTACGTGGGAATCCAGCAACATAGCCATTACGCTAACTGCTGGTCCCCTGAAGTGTCTTTTCAGTGCCCTCTGTTGACAACTCTTAACGTTGTACAACTAGTAAAGGAGAAACATTCACAGGATCCAGCACTGGAATCATGACTCAGGGCAAAGAAGGGTGAATTGCACAATTTCCCCTCACACATAGACTCTGTTCCAATTCCTTGTCAGGGCCTATGATGATCTACCCTCTACCTATTTCTTCAGACTCGTTGGGAGGCTACATTGCCTACTTTACATTGTTGGAGCCATTTCCTCTATTTTTTTGAACACATCAGTTCATCTTTCCTCAGAGCCATGCTTGGAAAAAAAACTTCACCCATACCTTTGCGTTGCTAGCTCTGTATTAATATTTGGGTTCTTTGTTAAACATCACCTCCTCATTTGGAGTTCCCTGATCTCATAATCTGAAATAGAGACTAAGTACATCTTCTACTTTTTCCTGTTTAATTCTCTTTATACTTGCTTATCACTTAATTATCTTTGTTTACTATGTTCTTCTCTCTACATAGTAGAAACCACATGAGAGGCAAACTTGAATGTCAGCAATAAGAAGAGTATCTGATAAGAGCTCATGAAAGAGTTGTTGAATGACTGACCATTTCGTGGCTGAAGACTGTGAAGCTCTCAGAATAATAAAGTGGCTTTCTAAAGATAAGTCCAGTAAGGGCCAGAGTCAGGACTGATCTCAGATCTGCCTGGTCACAGCGCGCTGATTGCCATCACGCTACAGCACGGCCTTCCTGAGTGCTGGGGAGAGCGTACCTGCGGTACATTTATCGCGGGCGTTCTAAACTAAGTTCATTCCTTCAAAGCTGTATGTTATCTCTTTACCCATTGTTTTCTTTCATAGGGTGTCAGTCTGTCTTCCTACTGTGTGTACATGGGTACAGACCCACCCACACACATACAACCTTCCTACTCTGAATAACATCAAATACCTGTTAGGGAAATGATTTTTGGGGTAGGGGTATGCACTCACTGGAGAGGAACAAAGAGAAACAGAGAGAAGGAAAATGAAAAATCACCCTCCAGGAAGGATGCTATGCTGAAATCCCTTTTCCTCCTTCCATTCTCCTCCTGAGATTTTGGGCATGTGCCCAAGATGATTTTTAAACCACCAGGCCTGGGACTTGAACCAGTGATCAGCCATGTGGGAGTTCAGCACTTTAACCACCATGCCACCTGCTGACCCCAGGAAAGAATTCTTAAAGAAAGTAGTCATGGAAATCTTGACAGAAAGAAAAATTGTTGGAATATTTTGGGAAACTAGACATTGGGTATTGGGGGAGAGAATGTATAAAAGGATAACAGATACCCAAATCTTGTTTTCTAACGGCGTTCTTCAATAAACCAGGGGTTGGTGCTAGCAGGTGGCATGGTGGCTAAAGACACTGAACTTCCACACAGCCAACAGCAGTTTGAGTCCCAGAGCTGGTGGTATTTTTCCTCACTTTTCCGCTCTCTCTGTATCTCTCTTTAGTGAGATCATGTGCCCTGAAGCAAATTAAAATGATAATACTAATAATAAATAAAATTGCAAATATATAATTTTTTACAAAAATAAATAAACTAGGGCTCCCAGAGAAATGGCCAATCCTAGCACTGGGGCAGGACGAGCTGAGAGAGGTATTTTATCTTTGTGATCTTCCTCATAAAAGCCCACAATCCCAGTTTACTCATGATAAAAACATCAATCGTCTTCCATTTGAGAGGCATTATATAAAGCACCTGACCAGTACTCCTCAAATCTGTTCAATTCATAGAAAACAAGGAAGGTGTGAGAAACCCTTATAGCCAAGAGGAGACTGCGACATATTGATTAAATATAATATGTTCTCCTGGATGGGATCTTCAGAACCCAAAGGATATTAGCTGAAGAAAAAATCAGGATAAGTAAGAAAATCTAAATAAAGTATGAATGCTAGTTAATAATAATTGGGTGGTTGGAAAAGTCATGACACATTTTTTGGATAGAAAAACAGAAAAAAAACATCATGACTTTTCTGACAACCCAATAATACATTAATATTGGTTTCCAATTGTCATATAGAAACCATACTGTTAAGATGTCAGTAATAGAGAAAACTGAGCATGGGATATAGTTATAAGACTCTGAAATAAAAAGCTTACTGAAAAAAAATAGGTGGCATAGAGGGAGTAAATATTTTTGTTTTGCAACCTTGGGAAAAAGAGAGAACAAGATCCATGGAAAATGGGAACTTGCATTCTTATCTGGTTAAGGAGGGAGCTAAGATTTTCTTGGGAGGAGGGCTGGAGCCCAGAGAGGGTGTTCAGCTTGCTTCTGCTGTGGGTGAATTAATTCATTTAAATTAATTCATTTATACAGAGCCACGTACTGGGCAGTGGGGTTTGACAATTCCTTAGGGCAGGGTGTGTGTGTGTGTGTGTGTGTGTGTGTGTGTGTTGCACACGCAAACTCAAATGCCTGTGGCAGCCAGCCAGGCAGTCTAAAAGAATAAAGCGAGTTGAGTGTAAGAGATAAAAGCGTGCTGGGATTTACGCAAGTAGGAGATCCAAGCCTCACGTGAAAGAACAGCTGATACTCAGCGCTGCTGGTTTTTACCAGGAAGGAAGGTGAGATGATGCCTTTTATTGTGATATTTCAAAAGAATCTAATAGATTTTTTTTTTCAGCGTGACAAATTCTACTTGTCACACAGCAACTAAGAAAATTTTTGGTTAACATCATGCATACCCAGACTGTGTCAAAGGAAATGCTTCTGTGAACTCCTCACAGTTCTCAGACCACCGGTTTGCGATTCTTCGCTGTATATCTGCGCTGTGTTCAGCCCAGTGGACTAGTACACACACGCTAGAGTTGTGTCTGTGTGGGGTCAAGCATGGAGCGGGTTTGTGCCCCGAGCTATGACAAGATCATTCTGTGAGAAGAAATGCCTTAAGCTTGTCGTTGGAAGTTTAGGACAATGTAGAGAAGAGGTGGGAGGCATTAGTTGCAAGTGGCATGAGGACAGGGCAGAAATCAGAAATTATAAGAAGACATTTGTGATTTATGGGACCAGCAGATGGCTTAATGATTACATCTCTGGATTCCCATGTAGTTGACCATGGTTTGAGTCCCGGATCTGGTAGCAACTGACTCATGTCAGGTGTGTGCATTTGTGCCCAAGTTCCTGAGAGGAAAATGGAGGAGAAGGGATTGCAGGGTGGCCATCCCTCTTGGGGAGTGATTTCTTGCTCTCTCTCTTTGTCTCTCCAGCAAGCACATGCACTGTATAACAAAAATCTCTCTCTCTAAAAAAAAGAAATTTTCCATTTTCACCTAAACTTTCCAGTCAGAATGAGCAAGGCAGAGTAAGCTGGAAATTTAGATTTATTTTTTTCAGTGTGGAAAAGTCTACCTTTTATTCCTTTAAATAAGTTTCTTACGTATTCACATTGAGAATCTCATGCTTGATGAGTTTTCCATATATGCTTACTTTTTAAAAGAATTATTAATTTAATTTTATTTATTATTTTTTAATTTGACCAGAGAGAGACAGAGAGAGGAAGGCAAAGTGAGAAAGCAAGCTGCTGGGTCCAGGACTCAAACTGCAGTTGGCCATATGGAAGTCTAGCACCTTAACCATCATGCCACCTCCTGGCCCCAAATCCTGCTTTAAAAAAATTAATTATTTAATTTTATTTGTTAATTCATTTATTTTAATTTAACCAGAAAGAGAGAGATGAGAGAGAGGGAGATGAGAGAGAGAGAGAAAGAGAGAGAGAAAGTGAGAAATCAAGCCTCCAGGTTCAGAACTTGAATGGTGGTCGTCCATATGGGAGTGTCCAGGACCCTAACCACCATGCCACCTGCTGATTCCCCGCATTCTACCTTTTAAACAGCAGTTATTTCAGGAAGTTTTTGATAAGCATCATGCATACCCAGAATGTGTCAAAGAAAACACTTCTGTGCACTGCTCAGAGAATGATTGGTTTCAGGTGAGAGTTAGTAATAATAACAATTTAAAAAGTACATGCATATGTCCTTGTGTACATATTTGATACATGTACACATTTTTTAAACTGGGCTAAGTTGGCTCGTCCAGCTGAGTGAGAACAGCTCCTGTGAGCTTCCCAGCTTTAAACCAATAAGCAAATACAGTATTCATTCTTATTCCCACTCTTCTCTCAGTGTCTCTTGACCCTCCAAGGATTACTGCACTGATCCAGAGGCACTGAAATGAAGAAACCCATGGCTGATGTGTGCACACAGCACACAGCGGTGATATTTGATGTGAGATTAGGTCAGAGTCAGCCAGGAAGCCTTCTAGAGCATGGCACACAGCCAACAGAATGAAAGCCTTTGTTAGGGGGAATTTTTCTCTCTCCTTGGCTGTCTTTCCTTGCCCTTCTTTATGCATCCTTTCCCTAAATTCTATTCTAAAATTTTTATTTAAAACTCTCAAATGCCACCGAGCCGTGAGAAGAGGACATTCCTCTCTAAATAATAGCATTATATTTCAAACTCTCATTGTGCTAATGTTGGCATTTTAATAGCTCATGAGAGGCTGAAATAACCTCACCACTCTCACCAAGGAGATCAAATATCATTTCCAGGACTTAGGGTAAGTCCCCTGTGGTGAAAGCACAAAAACCAGGGTACAAGAAACTGGCAGCTATATGCTTTAAGTGGGATTTCACTAATTATTGGCTGGCCTTCCCAAACAATGAATTAAGGTTGTCATTTTTGTGAGTTCCGCCTGAGAAGAGGCAGCTCAGAGCAGCTGGTGTCATTTTCATTATGAAAGAAACCCTTTTAATTTGGCTATTAGAGACCGTGATAAGTTGGACATAGTGTAAATCTCTGTTGGGGGGTCTTCCCAATCCCTTTCTCCATTTCACATTAAGTAAACAGAGGGAAATACTCTGATTTTAGTGGTATTAGTGGGCCACTAATAACCCAATGTTGCTTATGACTTTGCCATTAAGATTTATGAAAACTCTTTTATATACATGGGCAGGAATTCAACTTTATCTGAAAAGTTAAAAATGAGCATTCTTGATATTCAAGTGTGTGTTTTCTCTATCCAAGTAATTGATATTTTTAAAAAAGAATTATTTAATTTTATTTATTCATTTATTTATTTTAATTTGGCCAGAGAAACACACAGAGAGCGAGAGAGAGGGAAAGTGAGAAAGCAAGTCACCAGGTCTGGGACTCAAACAGTGGTTGGTCATGTGAGAGTGTCCAGCACCTTAACCACCACACCACCTGCTGATCCCCAGTAATCAGTATTTTTTAAAAGTCCAAAATATTTTATAATAATTAGATCATTTTAAACACCAAGAATTATTTGAAGTTAAATATGATGAATAAAATGGATGATTGAGACATATAATACTTGTTTGGGGTCAGTAAAGTGAGTATGAGTAAAATTTACCAGTCTTCCCCACATGTTCAAAAAACAGCTTCTGAAGGCAGTTCCCATGAAGAAGCTCCAAAGGTGTTCTTCTATATGGTAGTAAGGACAGTGAATACTCATGCTGATTGGCAAGGATGTAATGCTGAATTAAAGTTACTTATTTCACAATCAAATTCCCTTCACTGATATGCAAGTTTCTATTCTTGCTTTGATTACTTCTATGTTCCCTCCATGTAAGGAGAATCAGACTTCTTCATTTTTAATATTTATTTATTTATTTATTTAATTCCATTTGCTATTATTTTTTAATTTGAACAGAGAGAGATAGAGCGAAAGAGAAAGTCAGGAAGCAAGCTGCCAGGTCTGGAGCTTGAACTGAACACACACAGAGAGAGAGGGAAAGTGAGAAAGCAAGCTGTCAGATCCAGGATTTGAACCGTGGTCAGCCATATGGGAGTGTCCAACACCTTAACCACCATGCTGCCTGCTGGTCCCCATGGAGAATCAGACTTCTGGTAGGTTCCATTCATTTACCCAGTGATTGCATATTGAGTACCTTTTTGCCTGGCATTAGGATGAGATGAGGGACTCTGGATTTGGTGCCTGCCCTCATGAATTTATGGTCAGAGGTTGGCGGGTTGAGGTTGGAAGGTCAGGCTATGGAAAATACGAAAGGCAAATCTTTGAGGCAAAGTAATGGGAAACCACTTCTATTGGCTAATGTGCCCACAACGTTGAGTTAAAATTTTACTTTCCCCCAAACATTATCCTAACCAAATTATAGTCTCAGAAAATATTAGAGAATGCAGTCAGGAAATTGTGGCAGGTCTTGTGCCTTTACAATGTTTGTGTTGTTCATGACCTTTGTGCATGAATGCTTGTGTCCACGTGGCCAGTCAAAAATGATCATCTGGTTGACCTGTTTTTCCAAAAGACCTTTGACCGAATCTTTGATGGACAAACAGAGAATCATGTTTTCCAGAAGGATCTACTCACAAACAACATTCTATGGCATTATATTAAAGTAAGAAATGCGGACCAATGTTGGAAAAAAAGTTATGATGAGGGACTAAGTTGAAATTTTAAACTGTAGAGGAAACTTGACATATTAGGAATTTAAAACATTGAATTATATTCTCTCTGATTTAATGTCATGAAAAATTAGCATGTATTCATCCATTCAACAAATATTTATTAAGCACCTACCATTGCCAAACGCTGTGCTAAGTGTTAGGGTATGTTGGGAGACAAAATAATACTGGTATCTCACACGTAGATTGGGGATAGAGACAAATAATAATCATATAGGTGAATACATGAATATATATTTTGAGGACATGTGGAAGAAAAATGGTAGAGTTCTATGAAAGCATGGATCAGAGAGATCTACTGCAGAGTAGAGAGTAGGCAGGGAAGGCTGTATGCAGAAATGATATCTGCCAGGAAAGATCTAAAAAGATGGGTCAAAATGGTCTGGTCAAGAGTTAGGGGAAAAGGGAACCAGCAGTTAGCGTAATGGCTATGTCGCTGGACTCCCACGTAGTCGACCACGGTTCGCGTCCCGGACCCGGTGACTTAAAACTCACGCCGGGCGTGTGTGCATGCGTGCCCAAGATCCCGAGAGGAAAATGGAGGAGAAGGGATTGCGCCGTGACCATCCCCCCTGGGGGATGATTTCTCACTTTCTCTCTCTCTGTCTCTCTCTGTCTATCTGGCGAGCGAGGGCCCCAATATGAAAAAAAACCCCTAAAAAAAAAAAAAAAAAAAAAAAAAAAGACTTAGGGGAAAAGATTTATAGCCAGAAGGAATACTGTGACTTCAGTATATTTCATATCATGAAGAATTTCTAAAGTGAGTTAGAAACATAATGTAAACATAACATCCTGTGATATTAGAAAAATCATATTCCCCATCACTTTACTTCAGGCTAGTCAGAAATGTGTCAGGAGGAAAACTTCAAAGAGGCAGATTTCATTTCTCTGAGCTGAAAACAGAATGCCCAAACCACTTAACAAAGGCTTAGGTCAGTTTGTGATTATTCTTTTTCATTATCCCAGATGAATTTCCAAACTTCGGTAGCATAGTAAAACTTTTTTCTGTCTTTGTAAATAACTAAGCTACTATGAAATCCGGTTCAAAAGATAAAGAAAAGAGAATGAAGGTCTTCAAAACATTGTGTAAATACAAGGTACAACTAGTCATTAAACAAACA